CCCCCCCCCCCCCCCGTGGTACACATTTTTAATCTGGTACACAGAGGCAGGCAAGTCTCTGTGAGTCAGAAGCCAGCCTGCTCTATGCGGCAAGTTCCAGGCCAGCCAGGGCCACAGAGTGAGAACCCATCTCAAACAGAAATGAAATTTGTCAAGGCAAAACACAAAAATGCTATTTTATAAATCTGAAAATGGTTTTAACTTAATGATGAAGATGCAATTATGATTCATATGTGTTAACTCAGCTCATTGTATATACATCTTACTGTTTAGGGACACTAAGTAGAAATATAATTTTATGCCTTTATATTCATATGTGACTCGGTTAAAGTCTTATTAATGAACACCTAAGTTGTTAAAAATTCATGTTTGGGCTGGAGAGATGGCTCAGTGGTTAAGAGCAATGGCTGCTCTTAGAGAAGACCAGGGTTTCGTTCCCAGCATCACATGATAGCTCACCGTCATCTGCTCAGGTGCCTGCCAATCTCTTTTGGCCTCTGCAGGCATCAAGCATGCATGTGGTGTACATGAAAACACTCATATATATGCGTGTGTATATATGTATGTATATATACATATATATATGATTTTAAAATAAAGTAAAAAGTTCTGCGGTGGCACATTTCTTTAACCCTAGCACTGGGGAGGTAGAGGCAGAGAGTCAGAATTTTTGGAATTTCAACATCAGCCTCAGCTACATTTGAAGTTTGGGCAGATTGATAACCGCCTGTAATCACAGCTGCTTGAGAAGTTGAGGTTCCTAGGAGACTGAGCCTGGGAGTTTGGGGACAGTCCTGGTGAAATACAAGAATCTCTTTCTCTCATTTCTCTTTTTGTTTTGCTTTTGTTTTTAGATAAGTCTTGTAGCCTAAGCTGGCCTCATCATGTAGCTGAGTACCTTGAATCCAAGTGCCAGGAGTATAACTGGGACTTCTATGTTGGCTAAAACACCATCTTTTTTTTTTTAATTATGTGTTTGAGAGTTTTGCCTGTATATGTGTACATACATTGTGTGTGTGTGCCTGTTGCCCTGAGGCCAGAAGAGGGTTGCAGACAGCTGTAAGGCATCGTGTGGATGCTGGGTCCTCTGCAGGAGCAGTGAGTACTCTTAAGGCTGAGCCATTTCTCCAGCCCCTAAAAGTGTCTGTAATAAATAGCAATTCAGTTGTTTTTCAGTAACAGCTTTGTTGAGTTATGACTGGAACAGCAAACAATTTGTCCATGTAAGTGTCCCAATTCATTGGATTTTACTTGATCTTAGATATACCACCATCATCATAATCAGTTTAACATCATCTTGCACCCATAGTTAGGACTACCAAGTCTAAACAGCCATTAATTTTTATATCTCTGTAGGTTTGTATTTCATATAAAGGAAATTATATTGTGACTGACTTCTTTGATTATGTGTTTTTAAGGGTCATTGTATTGGAAACATACTGTATTTTCTTGTTTTTGCTATAATGTTGGTTTTTGAGTGCATATTTATTTTTTAACTTTATTTATGTACTTTCTTTTTTTAATGTAGGAGTCATCTGTCTGCATGTACCCCTATATGCCAGAAGAGGGTATCAGTTTCCTTTATAGATGGTCATTAGCTACTGTGTAGTTGCTGGGACTTGAACTCAGGACCTTGGAAGAGCAGCCAGTGCTCTTAACTGCTGAGCCAGCTCACCAGCCCCACATATTCATTTTTGAGTCTTGAACTATGTAGCTAAGAATGACCTTGAAATTCTGATCTTTTTATTTGGGACTCCCAAGTGCTGGGCCAGCAGATATGTTCAACTGAGCCTGGCTTCTAGGTCTTTATATTTAAAAACTATTCTGCTTACATCTATTTATTGTGTACATGTGTATATAAATATCATGAATTATGGGCCAGGTATGGTGGCCTAGACCTTTAATCTCAGCACTTGGGAGCTTAGGCCATCCTGGTCTACATAGTGAGTTCCAGGCCAGCTGTAGTTACAGTGAGACCTTGTCTCAGACGTTCCCCAAATTATGAATTACAAACTTAAATTTCAGCCATTTTAAACCTTGGATAGGATATGAAATTGTGTTCACTTCTTCCTCTTCAGTGTATGATACATTAGTGTGTGAAAACCAATGTTCTCATTTTTGGTAAGTGTTAATGTCTTTGAATTAGTATGTATAGTATTAATTAAATATATTAAGGCAATTGTCTCAGACCAGGAAATGCATAACTGGTTCTTTTAGTTAACTTGCTATCATGTTAGGAAGTTCATGTCATGGTGAGTTTGTTTCTGCTTCTCAGGTGTTTCCTTTTTTACCTTTGGTACCTTGAAGAGTGTTGGGCTTTCTTATGCTCCCACCCTGCTTGGCCGACCTTCGTCCGACAACCCCAATGTCTTAGTCTTGAAAACTCACATAAACTTACTTTGTGGCGGCGTTGCTGGAGCAATAGCGCAGACGATATCGTAAGTGTCACCTTCCGCTCTCCAGCCACTTTCTCTGTTGTCCAACATCATCTCATTCTCCTGTAACAGATAACTGGGAGCAGAGTCTCTCATAAAATAGAACTCAATTTTGATAAATATTAATTTAATACTTTTCAGATATGCTTCCATCGTAAGCATATTATACACAATTACATGCCAAGAGCTGCTTTCATTAATTTAGATCTTCCCAGTTTCCTATAAAGTCATTTGAAAAATAGCAAGAGAATAATTTAATTATTCATTCATTCATTTGTTCTAATCATTTTGCCCACAAGAAATTTCTGAAGTTTGAGCCATTGTGTGTGTGGTGGGGGAGAGGGTTGTGGAGTGTGTGTGTATGTGTTCCAGATAGTATATGAAACATTGTATGTTTCACCGAAGGAAAAATAAAATTGCAGACTCAACCAACCCCCCTTTTTAGATTTTGTTTTATTTTTAATTATGTATGTATGTGGGTTTGTGCATAAGAGTACAGTTGCCTTAGAGGCCAGAGAAGGGTGTCAGATCCCCTGGAGCTGGTATTTGAGATGCTTATGAGCCACCTGACGTGGTGTGGGTACTCAGAACTGAACTCAGATTCTCTGGAACAGGAGCAAGCACTCTTTTTTTTTTTTTTTTTTTTAAGATTTATTTATTTTATTATGTATATAGTGTTCTGCCTGCATGTACACCTGAATGCCAGAAGAGGGCACCAGATTTCATTAGAGATGGTTATGGTTGCTGGGAATTGAACTCAGGATCTCTGGAAGAGCAGTCACTGCTCTTAACCTCTGAGCCATCTCTCCAGCCTGAGCAAGCGCTCTTAACTATTGAGCCATCCAAATTGTTTTTTATTGAAACATTTCAATAACCAAATGTAAAGATGTTACTGTGTAGAGGGGACATTATAATAAATGTTACTATTTCAAAATTGGAAAGGCAGTTCAAAAACATTCTCTAGACCAAGAGAGATTAAGTAGACTGAGACACAAAGTGGCTAGAAACTAAGCATCAGGACTTTCAGAGAAAGAAAGTCAGAAAGGCTTTGTGGTGGTGGATATGTCTGGGCACCAGGAAGGCAGGAGGACTGCTGTCACCAGACTCAGCAGAATCCTGGGATGAGCAAAGCCAGAGTGAGCTGGATAAGATGCTCAGACCAAGAACTGCCCTGGGAAAGTAGAGTGTGTGTTCAGGTGGAAGCTGAGGCTGTGTGGGGAAGATGAGGGAGAAAAGCGTCCACTTTGCTGTGGAAACCTGGCTGTGGACCATACTGCTTTTGTGGACTCCTCACCATCCCCCCATGGATCTTCTTTCTCACCTTACCCCCAGCCCCCACCCCAAGAGCAGGGTCTCCTGTAATCAAAACTGGTCTCAAACTTGTTATGTATCTGAGGATGTCTTTGAACTTCAGATCCTCCTGCCTTCACCTGCCCAGTGCTGGACTGCTCAGTGGATTTGGGATTTTTATTTCAATGGTTGTCAAATAGGAAATAAGAGATTGTTTTTAAGTCTTTAATGTTTGTGTTTCTTTAGCTACCCCTTTGATGTGACCCGTCGGAGAATGCAGTTAGGAACAGTCCTACCAGAGTTTGAAAAGTGCCTGTAAGTGTTCTAAAGTCTAACTGTTCATAATCTTTAGAAATGTAATTTTTTGTTTTGTTTTATTTTGTCTGTTTGTTTGTTTGGAGACAGGGTTTCTCTGTGTAACAATAGTTGTCCTGTTGTTCTGGAACTCTCTCTGTAGACCAGGTTGGTCTTGAACTCTGCCTCTGTCTCCCGAATGCTGGGGTCAAAGGTATGAGCTAACACTACCCAGCTAAATTTCTATTTTTTTAATGCACCACCATGGCCCAGCTAAATTTCTTTTTTTTTTTTTTTTTAAATAAGATCTTCTGTAGCCTGATTGGCTTCCAACTTTGAACTTGTGACCTTCCTTTCTTAAATTCTACATGCCAGGAATAAGGGCATGAGCTTCTTAACTGGCTTCTTAGTTGGTTGGTATTTGAGTCAGGATCTCCTTATATAGTACAAGTCTGGCCTTGAACATGCACCAACCCCCAGGCTACATAAGACCTTGTCTAAAAGAAACTCAACCTGATCCACTCCATGGGCATGAAATGAAAGAGAAAGCAAAGAAGTGGGGAGGATCCTACAATCTTCCCCAACTGCCTCCTGTTAGGGCCCACCTGATGATGGAAACATTCCTTCATCTCCCAGCAGTACATCCTGGAAATCTGGTGACCCCAGGCTTGAGGTCTGTACCACCAAGCAGCTGCAGAAAAGTTGCATTGTAGTGAAAGCTTAAAGAGCAGATGCTCATACAGCCAGTGCTTCCCAGTGTGACTGTGGGATGGTGCTGTCAGTTAACATCATGGATGGGGTACGGGCAGAGCACATTGTGCTAAGGGGCCTGGAAATGTTCTGTAGCATGCCTGCCTTTTTTGGAGGGACTAGATTTTTCATTGTGATGTGGCAGCTGTGTGTAACCCTTGTCTTCCAAAAGCTTCCAGATGGCAGTTTAAACAAGGGCTCATGGACTGTGTCAGGCTAACTTTTTAAAACAAGACTTTTCAACTGGATTATTTTATGTGTATGAGTGTTTTGCTTGCATGTGTGTTTGTGCACCACGTCTATTTCTGGTACCTGCTGAGGTCAGAAGAGGGCATTGGATCTCTTGGGATCAGAGTTACAAATGGTTGTGGAACACCATGTGGGTGCTGGGAATTGAATCTGGGTCCTCTGCAAGAACAAGAAGTTCTCTTGACTGCTGAGCCAACTCTCCAGGCCAGGTCTCAAACTTTTGATTTTATCAAAAGCTAGTCTTGATTTGCTGGTCCTCCTGTCTCCATCTCCCAAGTGCTAAGCTGACAGGCACACACCACCTGAACTAATTTGTTTGTATGTGTATGTTCACATATGTAAATATTTATTGCTTTCTTTGAGACAGAATCTATCTCTGTAGCTCAGGTTGGCTTGAAACTCCTGCGTTAGCTTCTGAAGTACTAGGATTACAAGCTTGAGCAAACACAGCCAGTTAAGCTTTCTTTAAAAATACTACTATGGAGCCAGTAATGGTGGCACATGTCTGTAATCCCAGCACTTGGGAGGCAGAGGCAGGTGGATCTCTGTGAGTTCAAGGCCAGCATGATCTACAAAGCAAGTCCAGGACTGCCAAGGCTACACAGAGAAACCTTGTTTTGAAATACCAAAAAAAAAAAAAGGAAAGAAACCCCAGCTCCTATGGGCTGGGACTTGTGACATAGTCCTCTTTCTCCAGCATTTGAGAAGCAGAAGATTATACAGTTCAAAGCCAGACCAGGTTACAGTGTAAGATTCTGTCTGAAGAAACCAACCAACCAATAAACAAAGCTGGCTCTGAGGTTGTCTCGTTGTCATGAATGGTTGCTGTATCACTTTATCACTGTCTTTCAGTACGATGCGGGAGACTATGAAGTATGTCTATGGACACCATGGGATTCGGAAAGGATTGTATCGTGGCTTATCTCTGAACTACATTCGCTGTATTCCCTCTCAAGCTGTGGCTTTCACAACATATGAACTTATGAAGCAATTTTTTCACCTTAACTAAGAGAAAAAAATTATGATTTGTAGTTCTTTTCCTCAGTAAATTTCAGAGGAAAATATATATATGTATATATATTACCTTAACTATGAGGGAAACGTTACTTGAAGGGTTGTTTGCCCTGACATAAGAACCACTGGTGATTTAATACTTGATTTCTTTCAGTTTTTAAATCATAGATCAAAAGTGCTTAGCATATTTTTTTTTTTCTTCTTGATGGAATCCATATGAAGCCCTGGCTGGCCTAGAACTCAGTGTAGAGACCAGGCTGGCCTCATACTTGTGGTAATCCTCTCGCCTCTACCTCCCAAGTACTGAGATTCCAGGTATGTGCCACCATGCCTGCTCGAACATACTTTATGATGCTAAACATCATAGCTTAGAACCCCGAAAAGCCATCTGGAGCTGACAGTGGTTACATGTTTGGTTATTCTAAAGTGTTATTTGGAAGGGAAAGAGCCCTTGTATTGGAGTTCAAGAGATTGTCATTAGTTGTACCATACTGTTTCAAACTTTTAATTGTAATTGTAGTTATGGGTGGGGAGGGACTGGAATCAAGTGTAGGCCCTTTGCATGCCAACCACATGTTTTACCCACTCACCCACAGCATGTAAGTGCACACCACTGAGCTACATTGCTGGCCTTTTTTTTTTTTCAGTGTAGTGCTGGGAATCAAACTCATGCATGCTAATTGTACACTTCCAATGGCCTACCCACAGCCCTCTAACACTGCGCGTTCTTTGCCCCAGCCTGCCCTTTCTTTCCTCGTGCTGAGGAGTAAACTCAGGGTCTCTCGCCTATTTTGCTAGATTAGCACTCTACCGCGGCTTACATCCCCAGGCCCCTAACACTGTGCAGTGTCACTGTAGCGCAGTGGCAACTGAGCACTTAAGTTCTGTGAAACACAGCCAGCAATGAAGTAGTGCTCTCCTTATGTTTCTTCTCACAGTTCTGCTCCAGTTGATAGAAGGATACCTTTTCCTCCATAGGTTTGAAAAGTATTTTCTTTATTCTTAGTCTACTCTCTTTGGGGATTGAGTCTAGGACCCTGCACATGCCAGGCAAGTGGTAAACCACTGAGCTACATCCCCAGCTGTCTTTAAATAAAATTAAGTGTTACATTTTAAAGGAGAGATTCAACAAATGAAGAAGTAATCAGGTTTTGTTCAAATGCTATCTATTACCAGGTACTTTGATTTTCCTGAGTTTTAAAAAGCCACTGTATTTCCCAAAGGAAGTAATAATAAAAATTAAACATCTTTGCCCTTAAAATGAGGGTAGCATTATAGATGCTTATCTTAAATGATTTGGTATATACTAGAAAATTTAAGTGGACCATGAATATAGATGAAGCAGTGTTTCTGAGGTATTATGTCAAGATACAAGTTCTTCCATGTAAAGTAACTTTAGTGAGTATACTCCTAAGCGTAAATACACAACATGTTTTGAGTGTTACATTTTAAAGAAAGTTGCTTAGAATATAAGAATTCTGATCATTGTATTTCGAGCACTTTTCCTCTTGTTGTAAGCATGACAGATGGAGTAGAAACAGTCAACAGTCTTTAGAGATAGGAATTTGTAGAACTGATGTGATTTTAAGGCATTAAAACTAAGCTGCAAGAGCTACTTCTGTATTTTGTGTGTGTGTGTGTAAAGATTTCTTGTTATATCTTGGTAAAGATTGGATGAATTAATTTCATTTTTATAATCTTTACTTTAAAAAAAAAACCCCATGTACCTTGTGATTTGTAAATATACCAGGAGTGGGGATATGTCTGTTTATAAAGCTCTTTTGTATATTTTAATTTCTGGACCACACTGTAGCTAATTATTCCATTCAGTCTTTAAGTAATTTAAATCTATAAAATAAATATCTCAATTATATTATCAATAAAAGAGAACTGAAAATATTTTTTAAAATAAATTGCATTCTATGTTACAGAATCAATAAGATATTAAAATTAATTTTTTACCCTTGTTTTGATGGTCTGTTTTATTTATTTTTTTATCTCTGGAACCTGGGATCAACCTGAGGGCTTTGCACAAATTAGGTAAAACACTTTTCCACTGAACTGGATCCCCAGCCAGAGCTATTTAGTCAGTTAGTTTTATTTTCCCTTATTTATTTAATATTATTTTATACGAGTGTTTGCCGCATGTATGTCTGTACCCCACAGACATGCCTCGTACCCACGGAGGTCAGAAGTAAGACATCAACTCCCCTGATCTGTAACTATAGTTACAGGTTCTTGTGAGTTGTCATCTGGGTGCTTGGAATCAAAATGGAGTCCTTTGGACGAGCAACCATTGTTCTTAACTAGAGAGCCATCTCTCCAGTCCCTTATTTATTTTTTGAAACACTCTTTTTATGTAACCCAAGCTGGCCTGAAACTCAAAATCTTCCTGCCTCAGCCTCTTCCATGCTGGGATGTGCCATCACATCAGGCCAGTACCTTGCCTTTAAAAGTTTGCATTATTGAAGGAAAAACGTTAAATATCAGAACGGGAGGGAGGGCTGTGAAGATGGCGCAGGTGATAAACAGTTATATAACCTACATTCACATTCCTAGCACTGTTGAACCACTAGTGTCCACACTTGTAACCATATAGGCGCAAACTCATGCACAGAAGTCAGAATGGAGGAATGTTAAAATTACGAAATACCTTCTTTTGACATAACTTTTTATTTAGACTTTTAAAAAGATTTATTGTGTGTGTGTGTGCGTGTGTGTGCACCATGTGCATGAGGGTGCCTGTGGAGGCCACAGGAGGGCGGCAGATCCCCTGCTAGTGGATTACAGGCGGGCAGAGGGGCCTGGACGCCCAGCCAGAGGCCTCCGCGCCACCTCGGGGGCAACCTGCCGGGGTTGGTTCTCCACCCAGCGGTCGTCAGTCTTAGCCACAGTCCCTTTTACCAGCAGAGCTGTTCCCCCACTCTGAAAGCTTTCTTCAACTGGGCACAGTGAAAGCCTGAGACAGGGGCTTGCTGTGAGTTCCAGGCCAGCCTGCGAGACTGGAGAGCCTGTCTCAACCCGCCTAAAACAGAGATTCCGATCAGGCCCACTCAGGTGCAGTCCCGGAGGCGGGAAGGCGGGAAGGCGGCTCGGTCCTGCGCCGGGAGCGCGGGAGCCGCCGGCCGCGGGGCGCCCCCTGCGCATGCGCGGCGCGCCGGCGCGTCCCTGCGGCTGCCGGCGCCGCCGCCTCTCTTGGCGGGCTCGGCAGGGATGGAGCCGGCGGACGAGCTGGATCTGCTGCTGCTGGAGGAGGACCGCGGAGCGCAGGCCGCGCCGCGTGTGGAGCTGTGAGCAGGCGGGCGGCGGGCGCGAGGGCCGAGCGCGGGCGGGACCCGCGCCTCTTCCCTGGCTTTGGCTAGGGGGAGGGAATCCTCATCTGCGACAGTTCCCTGTAGCCCAGGCTGGCTCCGAGCTTGCTGTTTTCCACTCGGCAGCTCACCACTGTCATTAATACCTTGACTTTTATTTTATTTTATTTTATTTTTTTAAATTTCCGCTTGTGACGATCGGAGGAGCACTTGTGAGAGTTCTTTACTTTCACGTGGGACCACGCCAGAAATCGCCTTTAGTTAGGCTCAGTCATATCTTTTTTTAAATTATTATTATTTACGTGTATGTGAGTATGTCCCCGAGTTTAGAGGTGTCTCCCGGCAGTGGTGTGCTGTAAGCGGGAAGTGCAAGCGAGTGTTGGGAATTGAACTTAGGTCCTCTGCAAAAACAGTAAGTACATCCACTGAGCCACCTCTCCAGCCCACAGTATTTTTTTAAGACCTCCTGCAGGTGTCACCACCTACCTCAAGAAATTCATGGCTAGAGGCTAAATAGGGGTGTTGAGTGCAGCCAGCTGAAGTGATTCATTCAGGAAGGTGAAAGGCATTTTGTGGGTTTGTTTGAGACTGGGTCTCTCTGTAGTCCCGGCTGTCCTGGAACTTGCTGAGTTGTGAGTTGCCTGGCCTTGAACTCACAGAAATCTTGCTTCTGCCTCCAGAGTGCTGAGATCAAAGGTGTGTGCCACCATGCCTGACAGCGTTTAATGTTTTTAATTGGAGAGAGTTGGTAACTTGTTAGCATTGTGGAAACCACACAGAAAGATGTAAGAAGGGAAGTCACTTTGAAGATTAGTTTGGGTGATGTCAGTATTGTGAAACTGACTTCATTCTAAATCCAAATAAGAAACTCCTGAGTTACTGCAAAGAAATGGGCTCCTCTGCCAGGTAATAAATTACCTTGCTTTCTAGTGGCTACTCAAGGAGCCCAGGAGTGCTCGAGACCAGCCTTTGCCTTAACAGAGAGACCCTTTCCTGGGAAGCCCAGGGCGAGTTTGCTTTCTTGGCAAGGAGAGGCAGGCCAGGGCCTCTTCCTGCATCTGGACTGTGTTGGTCTAGATTTGCTTAGTGATGCTGGGGAAACCAACACTGGGCTTACCGTAGGCGGAAGCCCAGGGGTGCTGTAAAGATTATTATAATTGCCAGCTCCTGGCAGGAACTGCAGTGACCCTCTCGTGCTGCTCCCCTCCCATGCTGCTCCCAATCCCCTCCCCCTCTCTTTTTCTTTTAAGCAGTAATAGGGAGCAGGCACAGGCTGGCAAGCAGGTGCTTTGCTACTAAACTGTGTCCTCCCAGCATTTCAGTTATTTGGAAAAGTGATCAAAATATCTCCCTTCAGTTTTACTTTGAAAAGGCTCTCAACAATGGTGGCATCCTGTTCTAGTATTTTCCAGGTTTTAAGGTAGCCCAGGCTAGCCTTGAACAGGCTAGCCCAAGGCCTAGTCCAGATGGCCTTGAAATCCTGATCCTCCTTTTTTTCATTTCCCAAGTAATTTGTTTTGTTGCCCATGGTTAATACAGGTCTCATTTTGTAGACCAGGCTAACCTTGTGAGGTTAGAGACAGGAGTGGGCCCTAGAGGCCCAAAAGAAAGAGACAAGAAACAGCCATGTGGGCTGATTAATGGTCAGACCTGGTATTTGTTAGAAACTGGTGGGTACTCTCCTGTTTGTGAAGACTGACCGTATCTGCATTGCAACTCCCCCACACCAATTCTAACCATAGCTGCCTACTAGTTAAAATACCAATCACAATATATATATATATATATATAACTAAAAATAGAGGACAAAGCCAGAAATGTATAGAAGTGCAATCTTGTGCTATTAGGAACTCTGTACCCTCTGATACTGACCCCCTAGAGATAGTCTGCCTCCTACTTAGAGCAGCTTGGCTATCTCATCCTGTGGTTTGATCTCTTGCAACACTTGAATTTGTGCTAGTCCCTTGCCTCAGCCTCCCAAACCCAGGGATTATAGGTTTGAACCACCATGTGTAGCTTCAGTTATTACTTATGTGTATTTTAAAAGGAGAGGACTCACTTTTTGTTTGTGTTGAAATGGTACCTCATGTAGTCCAGGATAGCCCAAACTCTCTCTATCTAAGGATGACCCAGTTCTCTTGCTGACTCCCCAGTGCTGAGATTACATGCTTGAGTCACCATAGTCAGACACCTAGTTTATGTAGGGCTGGGGATCATAATGACCCCGGGTTTTGTACGTGCTTGGCAAGCACTGTACCAACTGAGCCCCGGCACAAGTCTTTATGACAGGAATGTGTCGTTCCCCCATGCCCTTCTTCGTTCAGTTTAAGGTTTTCAGATCAAACAAAACTAGAAGATTGACTCCCAGACAGTACAGTCAAGCTGCTGCACATCTCACGGCTCTGATAGGATGGTTTTTCCGTTTACTCTCTAGGCTTCAGAAGAAGGTGGAAGCTTTCTTTCCTAAAACAGTTCTGAGCCAAGGAGTGGACAACCGGTACCTGGTGCTAGCTGTTGAGACTGTGCAGAACGGAAGAGGAGATGAAGAGAAGCGCTTGCTAATCACTGCGTCCCAGGAGCTGGAGCCTGAGGAGCTGTGCATCCTGAGGAATGGCTGGTGATTTGCACTTGACTTTGAGACCTGGTGTGGTGGTCTGGTGGTGTTTCTGTTTGCTTTCCAATACAGGCTCACATAGCCGAGGCCTCCACCTACTCACCTCCAAATGCTGGCGTTACCGGGCATGATTTGCTAGTCTGGAGGATACCACCTCGCCCAAGGCCTTGTGTGTGTTAGGCAAACACTCCACCACTGAGCTCCAGTCCCAATTCCAGGCTGCCATCTGAAAACTCATCAAATGTCTTGTGTGGGTTAATTATTTAAAAGGAGAGTAAAGGTGCCTGCCACCAAAACTGACGGCCAGAGTCTGACCCGCAGAGTGGAAAGGGACAGACAGACCTCCCACCCCATACAGGCACCCAAAGTAAAAATGCTAAAAAAGAAAGAGAATGATTTTTTTTTTTTTTTTTTTAAAGAGGATGATTCTTAGTGGGTAAAAAAGGTTTGGGAGGTGACTCAGTGGTTAAGAGCATTTTCTGCTCTTGCAGGGGTCCTGGGTTTGGTTCCCAGCATCCGTGAGGCAGCTCACAACTGCCTGTAACTCCAGTCCCAGGGGATCTGAAACATCTCCTTGGGCACTGCACGAATGTGGTGCACATGCAGTCAGGCACATGCATGTACAACAAAATAAAATAATAACATTTCTAAAAATGAGAAAGATTTCCTGGCTTAGTGAAGATATAGCCATCGCTCAAGTTCCTTTGTGCTCCAAATTGGCAAGTTTTGTTTAATGTTAGTTTTTATGTAAAATTTTTTAAAAATTTGTTATATGTGTTTCACCTGCATGTATGTTCAAGCACGGTGTGTGTCTAGAAGAGTGGGTTGGATCCCCTGGACTTGGAGTTACAGGCATTTGTGAGCTGCAGTGTGGGTGCTGGGAACTGAACCAGGGTCCTCTGCAAGGGCAGGGGGTGCTCTTAACCATAGAGCTGTCTCTTTAGCAACCTCCTCGCCCCTTAAGCGAAATTTAAGAGCCAGAGGTTTAGAAATATTTATTCTCCGGATAAAATACTCGCTGCTTCTGGGTGTTTAACTGTGG